CAAAAATGCCTTGTTGAAATCAGAGGTCAGAAGAGAATGGGCAGACTGGTTCAAGATGATAAAAAGGCAACAGTGACTCATGTAAACATGGACCAAAATCTCTAAGGAATGTTTCCAACACCTTGTAGAATACATGCCACAAAGAATTAAGGCAGTTCTGAAGGCAAAAGGGGGTCCAACTCGGTACTAGCACGATGTACCTAATGAAGTGGCCAGTGAGTGTATATTTCTTCTTCTTTTTTTTTTTTTTTTTTTTTTTTAATCCCAGAACTGAAAATGCCATAGGAAGTGAAAAAGAACAGACAGATTAAAAGGAAAAGAATGATGAAAGAAAAACAAAATATTAAAATGCATGACAACAATAATTATTATTATATTAATATACAGGATATATATAGCGCCAACAGTTTGCTCAGCGCTTTACAATATAACGGGAGACAATGCAGCAACAGTAAAGTTCAATACAAGAGGGATAGGAGGGCCCTGCAATAATGTGCCAAACAAAGTAAGATGATGTGCAGTTACCAATTAAAGCACGTGAAACATGCAAAAGCAAACCATAGTGCCAGTGAAAGAAAGAAGCCGTCAATCAAACAACTTGTCTTGTATGTGAGGACTGCAAAACCACTTTGTACTGACCAGGCATCCCATAGGAAGGGACCCCCCCCTGTTAAATGCCCCTTCTATATATCTCAGGGGGACTCATGCCCCTCCTAACGCCTAGCTCTGGGCACCTGGGGAGTTGCACAGATCAGGGAATGAAGTGAACATGACCTGCCATGGTACACAGGGAGAGCAGCACTTGTAGGTTGCAGAGGGTATCTGGAATGGAACATATTTAATTTTAGGGTCTCTTGGTTTGATGTTAGGTTTTAACTGCACATCATGGCCACAACTCTCAACTAGGGGACAAATATAACCATATAGTGTAATCTCTAATTTATACTATATATTGTACAGTATATGCTGTCTAGGAATGAATTGGTACCATATAATATCCAACATATACCATCTGTGATATAATGGATATATCCAGAGTATGTACACTATAAAACATCTTTCAGGTATGTAATGTATAGTATTTTCCAGCTTACAGAATAAACTCATTTTTTAGGCATACAGTATGGGACACACAGCTCTTTAATCATTAAGGGTTATATGCAACTACCATCAGATGATTGGACACTGCCAAAAAAGGAAGGCTTGAGGTACATCTCTCTCTATATAACCCCTCTCACTCCCAGCTAGCCACCATTTTTACTAGCGTCTTTAGGTGATGGACCTCTTCTTTCTACACAGAGAAGCTTATGTTCTATGGAGTTTTCTCTCTATCTCTGAATGATGATATTCCAATATTCCACCAAACTATTTCTTTTAGCAAGATTCCTGGTGCATCATAACCACTTAGGCTCCTGCTACAGCTACTGGGTCAGTTGACTCTTCGGCAAAGTCTTCGGGGATAATTCCCAGACCCTGCTGGATGGAAGAAGGTTTGCCAGCCTGTAATGTTGTGACATGCACCAGATCCTATTGTAGCCACTTCCCTTGGCAAATAGTGCAACGTATTGAGATAAGGTGAGTCCAGAGCTGTGATGTACCAGCAGCAGAGCCATATTCCGGAAGATCCCTGTGTGGATATGCTCATTGTGGAGGGCGAAGTCAGGAATAAGTAATGCCCCTGTTAATCTTGCCTACATAAGTTTCAGCAGAGTACAAGGAGGAAGCTCTTTAAACAGTTGCGCCAAGAGTACCCCTTTTGATTTCCTGGTTTCCCTTGGGTAGTGTGAGGGGCCACCGATCACACTTCTGGTGGTTGCGGTTGAAAACTGGAAGCTCCAGGGTTTCTTTAAACTTGGCGCCATTTTTCTTTCTGCAGCTGTGCGGCTCGGCAGTGCAATTATGCCTCCCCCTTGTAGTCCTAAGTGCTGCTGCACAATCTCATTTGAATGCTTTCAAAATGTTTCTCACTACAATATCCTGTTGAGACCCAAGAGATCAACACTCCAAGAGGTGGTTTCAAAGCAGAAAGAGGTTTCTAAGAGCAGTTGTGGCAATTAGCAGTGTGGACAGTAGGAAAGGGTACATGTGTCCTATCTTCTTACAGGTATGGCTTGCTTTAAAACTGTTTTGTATAGCGACAGGCTCATTTTAATCTATGGTTAACCTTAATTAGTTTTTTTCCCCTTTTTTACCTTAGTGAATATATTTTTATTTTGTTCTCAGATTATGGAGCATTCATATTTAAACTTTTTATTTACAGTAGCACTACTTTTAAAACTGTCGCTGGTTAAACTAGAAAAAATGCAATGTGCAGGATAGTGTAAAAAGTACTATGCCATGAGAGCTAGGACAAAGTAATTCCCATGTGCATTTGCAGAAGTAGAGTGCTGTCTGGTATATATATTAGTTGGACAGTGCTGCTGGTCAACATTCATAGTGTCACTACAACGTTATTTGCTAGCTGGCTCCTTACCTCCAATTATTTATTTTTTTTGGCCTTCCACCAACTTTCAAGTGCTCTACCCAGGGCAACCAATAAGCTTTTGTTTTTCTAGTTTTGATGAAAGGTAAAGTCTGGTTGCTTTAAGCTGGTTATACCTGGATTGCATTTTAAGCAATTCCTGCTGCATTGATTGAAATTCTCTCCATGGGTGGCCCTGTTGGCACCACCCATCTTGCCAAAGGTCAATTTTTAAATCTGTTTTGTCAAAGGAGTGGGGCAGAAAATTCTTGGTTGAAAATGCTTACTTCAAATCAGATGCAAGCACTGTTTAGGTATTCTGGCAGCTGCATGTGTCCAATTGTCAGAATAAAATAGTTGGAGCTGAAGACTTGCTAAGCTGCATTTATGGAGGAACTCGAGAAATCTCGAACGTGTATTGCTAGCATTCGCCGATGATGCTTTTACATCCATCTGCCTAATCTAGAGTTATCTATCCAGACAGATCTATTTGTTTTCCTGGGGTACAATGAATCAGCACTGCTGTCAGCAGAGGATTTTTGTAATGGCCCCACAGCAGAATTTCCTCCAAACGTAGCTGATACTTTAAGAGTCTGTTCATGTATAGCAGAGCAAGATGGGTAATAAATGTGGTTTATAGAGTTGCCAGCATTTCCTAGTGATTATACTTTTCATCCACCAGCTGCAGACTGTGTGATATGGTTGGATCAGGAGTAAAATAGAGTTGGCACTGGGCAGTATTATGGTCAGATCAGGTGTAAAATAGAGTTGGCGCTGCGTGGCAGTGAATGAAGCAATTCAATAGCAGCATTATGGTGTTGGCACTAATTTAGTCTCCCTGGTATTTTCATAGTTGGCACACACACCTGGGCCTGGGCACAGCTTTTCTCCTATCTGTTTGGACCACCAGTCTGGCTTGACATAGGGATGGCACAGGCTCTGTCTGCCTGATAAGACTTCATTTCCCCCTGCAGCTTTAATTAAAACTTGAATCTGCTTCCTAATTGCTGTTTTGTTCCAGTCGACTTTGCTGCTGCAAAGACAAATGGAGGAACATCGCAATGACCTTTCTGTAGCAGTCCATCTCCTCTGACCGAATGCTGCCGGCTTTATTCTGCCTTATTGAATCATATTGCACAGAATGTTGCTGCCAGGTGAACCCCATTAAATTCATTATATAAATTGGCATTCTATTGTTCCACAATTGGGGTCCCAAGTTGCTCATGGGAGGGCCGGAATTCCAATGCCATGGAGACCTTAGAATAGATGGTGGTATATTGGGTCCATCAGAGCAGATAATGGGGACCTCAAGATAGGCAATAGTTTAATGGGGTCTTCAGGACAGGCAGTTCTGCAATAGGGCCTTCTAAATAGGCAGTGGTGTCATGAGACCCACAGGAAAGGAAGTGGTGTATTGATGCCCCTGGTTTGATGATCTCTAGAGAAACCATTCTTGACTTGGGTTCCTTGGGTTACTCCAAAAATTGCTTGGGGTTCCTTGAGCTGTGGCTGACTGACCTTCCATTTGATGGGATGTCTACATAATTCTGAGTCCAAAGCCACTTGGCAGAGCCAGCAGCATGACAACAATAATATTTTTAGCTGGCTGTAGGGTGGCATTCTGACCATCACTATTAAGGAGGCGTTCTTACAATTAGCCACCAATGTATGGGCCATTCTTATTATTGACTTCCAGTGAATTCATTTTAGCAGGCATTCCCTGAGACCGAAAAATTATTTAATCGTTCCTCTGGGAGGGGGGTTGTTAAAATAACTCTGTTCTACAGGAATGTGTTGATACTGCCTTAAGTTGCTTCAACCAAACAGTGCCAGCTATTAAATTGAAACTGTGGATACTGCTGTCTGCTGAGTGACTCAGTTGCTGTCCTGTGTAATGACGTCTAGGGACATTGTGCTGCTGTGCTTACTATGCATGATAATGACACAACATGCTGGCTATGTGGAAATGTATACTCATTTCTAACATTTTACATGGCTGCTCCCAGAACAGATGAGCTCCATTCATAATAAACATTCAGAAAAAATACAGATTTGTTCTGAAAGTGGAGTGTATAAACACCAGTGGATGTTTCTTAGGTAAATCTTGGAAAATGGTGTGGATCCCTTACAGACTGACAATGTGAATGTGATATACGATGTGCAATATGCTACTGATAATTTAAAGGTCCAGTCAAAATAAAAAAAGTAAAAAGTCAGCAGCTACAAAAACTGTAGCTGCTTACTTTAAAAAAAAACAGACACTCACCTGTCCTTCGATCTTGTTGTGTGCTCACAGCGGCCGGGTTCATCTGCTGTCTCGTGTCCCTGGTGTCAGCACCTTCAGTGTGGGCACCCGGCTGTGACAGCTTGCGGCTTCACAGTCGGGTGCCCACTGCATTTGTAGCGCTGCACTTTGTGAATGGTCCCATAGTCTACTGGGACCTGTCACATGTCCTAGAAGACAACGGAGAGGGAGAGAGGGAGGACATCTTCCACTTCCGATCGCATAGGTGATCACAGCGGAAGTGGGAGCCAGAACCTGTCAAATTCAGGTACCCCCACTCCCAAAAGGTGTCAATCCTTAACGGGGAGCAGGGGACGAAGCCTTAAAGCGGAACATCCCCTTTTGGGTGGAGCTCCACTTTAAGGCAAGCTATTGTCAAGCCAGGTACTGCCAATCGGGTGACATTTTAATGCCTTACAACAGGGAGAGGGTCCCTTTTAATTCGACTTTGAGGTTAACATTGAACAAAATGATTGACTAAATCACACACTTGGGAGATGCATTTAGGCTATATGTTGTGTTACTGGACAGTACGATTTTCAAGTACAGCATCAGCAACTGTATTCTGCCATCCCATATTTTGGGTGCATAATTGATTGATTTAACTTTTAAATTTGACTTGGCTTAAAGTAGAACTAAAGGCAAAACTTTTCTTTTCATTTTGGATCTTAAAGCCAAGACAGGATGTAAGAGAAAATCCCTCCAAAGTAAAGGAATCCCTGGTTGTCTCCAGAGTTGCCCAAACTAGTAAGATTTCCCCTCTTTTACTGTCCTGAAGACAACCCAAAATTTTGGGGATTTTCTTTCACTTTTGATGACAGTAAACATGACAAATTGAAAGGGTGAATCTCCAAATAGGGGAGTACAGACAGCAACCTGAACCTGACAGGTGTTTTTTATTTCCTCTCCACTCTATCCAAAGCAAAAAGTTTTTCCCTTAGTTATAAAAAATGTTTACTTTTAAAAAATAAAGCTAAAAAGCCCTCAACTTCATACAGATTGGCCAGTGTCCAAAAATGTTTTATTGTATAGTTTGTGGGCTTTCTTTTTGCAGTGCCAAAGAAAGGCGGGTTTTATATTGAAGTAAACGTTAGAGTGTACAATGCCAAAAAGGAATGCGGCCACAGATGATGTCCCTGGGCTCCAAAATGTTTATTCAATCAGAAAATGCAACACATCCCTGCCTAGAAACTGTCCTTCTCTAACACTTTTTTCACCCAGGCTTAATCATAAAGACTTCATTATAATCATATCTCTATGATTAAGCCATAAGTGTGAAACATGTTAGAGACACGGTCTCCAGGTAGGGATGTGTTGCACTGTTTGTATGGCTGAATAAACCTTCTGGAGCTCTGGGATGTCATCGTTGTGTGTGGCCTTCCTTTTCGGTGTCGTGTTTTTATGGTGTATGGCTTTGAAGACCAGCATCAATGGTGGGCTTTTTACGATCCACAAACAGCATGTATTTTTTGAGAGATAATAGCCACAAATCTTGTACAGTGTCTGGACGGTATGCAAGCAGCTTGGTACAGCTGCATTATAAGAGGGAGAGATAATACAGCCTTTATCTGTCAATAAAAAAACAGTTTATAATGACAATAGCCACAAATATTGTTCAGTAAATTGATAGTATGCAAACATCTTGGTAAGGCCCCAATGCAAGAAGGAGAGGCGAGGCAGGCTTCTGAAATAAACAGAGTATATTATTTCAGAGTCAGTAGCTGCAGATATTGTACAGTAGCTGAGAGTATGTAAGCAGCTCAGTTAGGGCATAGTAAAAGAGGAGCTAGGTTTTATTTCCCTATGGGCAGCCCTGCTGGTGGTCAAGCCCCCCATCTGCAACACACACACTCAGTCTTTTTGCCTAACCCCTCTATTTGGAAGACATATTCCCTGTTCAGTCATAGATGGTCCTTGAATGGGGTAGGCTGCCTTGTCATCTACCATATCTAGGTAGACTTGCCAGACCACATTTCAGGTCTATGTCATTTGGGTCAGGCACCTCAGTTTTCTTATGCTGCTTATTCTACTAGACTCTGCGTGCATCCTAGGCTTTTTATTACTGTGCCTCAGTCTCTCAGGTTTTCAAGGCACCTAGCCGATTATTAGTTCACACTTTTAGCAAGTTGACATTACCACCTCTGCAGAAGCCAGTTTTGCAGGCAAGGGTTTGAGTCTGCTGGAGTGCGGGCCTGCTTTATGTGTGGGTTTTGGTTGGACCCACCCTCTTTGCTTCTGGCACTTCTTTGGGATGTCCCTATGGTTATAATCTAAAGATCCAGCTGTGTCCTTCAATGAACAGAAGAGAAAATGGGATTTTTGTGCTCAATGAAAAATTATTTTCCTGACAGATACCATGGCAGTATACGTTTGGGTAGCTCCCCCTCGCTCCTTCCCCATAGAACCCTATTCCATTAAATTCTGAGGCTGAGCCAGACACCATGTTCCTTATTCGTCCTCCTAATAGGACCTATCAAGATGTGTTTTTTTTTTTTTTTTTCTTACCTTGTTGGTTTACTGATGGATGTCAGCTCCTGGATCTCTGGCAGGGTCATGAGTGGAGACAAGTTATTCCTATCAGGACAGTTACAAGATGATACCAGGTTCCCCAGCTATCAGTGGGGTGGTATTCATGGCATGCAGAAAATGAGGGATTAGCATTTACAGTCATCGATGGTAAATTGTGAAAGCGCACCCCCAACTATCAGTGGGAGAGTGCTAGGATGAGTCCGGATTCCTCAGTAAACAGCAGGATAGTATTCATGGCATGGATGTGATGAGAAATATATCCAATAGTGTTCCCAGCTGGCAGGACTATGTTTAGCCAAATGCCCAGCTATCAGCTGGTGGTTCTGAGTGTGCCCAGCATGTGCATTGATCGCCCTGCAGAAGAGGTCTAGGACGTTTGAGTATGTGGACCTTGAAGTCAGCACAAGACACTTTACCAGAAACTGTGTGGGCTGTTAAGGGGGTAACTCCACAGAATAATAACCAAAGGAAAAACATCTGGAGATGACTATGCTCTCTGGGTGATCGATGCACATTGCAGCATTTTATCAGTTTGGTACAGTACATTTTTTTTTTTTTTCCCCTTTTTTTCCCTTTTTTTTCTATCCTGAACAAATACATTTTTGTTTTCAGCATGGCCTGCTTTTCTGTATGTCAGGGTCTGGTTCATTAGTCACCTGATAGAATCACAATGCTCTGTTGTAGGAAGCTGCAGTGACCGTGTTCCTTTAGAAGTGGTTAACTTTTTAGGGTTTTTTTTTTTTTTCACTCCGCAAACAAACAATTATATTGTCTTTTTTTGACAGCTTCAGAAACTTCAGCAGCTGCATTGGGAAGGTTATTTTTAAATTACTGGCTTAAGTAACAGTTGTACATGTTATAGTAATTTTTCCTTAACAATATGGAGTTCTTCCCTAGACTTGTGCATTATCCCTGTTTGGCAGGGATTGGTTTATTTTACTGTGACAGATTCTTGTGCAGCCGGCAGTCTAATCCTTCTATATTGTCACTGCTCTATGCAGGTTAGTAGCTGTAGGAGGGCAGTGTCTTCCTTACTGGCACCTTTATCTGGATTGTCAGCCATTCTGTGGGCCCCTTAAAGCTGTAGACTCCTCACCTTCTTGTATTTCTTACTGTCAGTTTTCTGACAAAACATGGGCTTACTGTTCAGAACCAAGAATTGCCACTTCATACTTAAGTCAGCCATTGCCAAGAAGGTAAGGGGTATTTTGCCAGGTAAGTTTTTTTTTTTTTGTTTTGTTTTTTTCTTTCAGGTATATGGGAAGCTGATTAATGGGCACATGCTATTAAGCTCATCCAGATCTGTATGCATTACGCACACTGTAAACTGGTACCTTGGTGCTCATGCTTTGGCAGGCAAAACCCTGTATGAATTCCTGGTTTGTTTAAGCTGCCAGGGAGAAAGATGACAACGACCAACAGGTTGTCACAAGTAGTCTAGAAACTCTAAAGGAGTTTGTTAAAACTCTCCCTGTTCAAGGATTCTCTGCTCTGGAAATGTTCAGCTATTTTACTTCCAGAACCAGTCAACTGGTCTCTGATCCTTCTCAGGCCAATTAACGCTCTTTAAACATTTCCTTAGAGGTAGATGCGAGGAGGATGATGTATTTGCAGGTTTATCTGTTTGCAGGTTTTTGTACCTTCTTTTTGTAAGGCTGTTAGGATACCTAAAATGTATGATTCTGCAGAAGTACTTGCAATGCAGGTATTTTTAACACTTTCAAAAGTGTGTGTTGCATTTTTCTCTGATGTCAAAGCTAGAAGTTTGTTCTGGAAGAGTGCTGCAAAATTGAACAGAAGGACAGAGCAGCAGAGTGCCTTAATGGCCAGAACTTCTACCTTGCAGCACTTGGTTCCTCATTTTGAACCCCAACTAGGACACTTCTACCTGCACTGCAGGGTGTCAGATTTGGCACCTATGAGGAAGAGGTTTTTCAGCATAAGAGGGCGCCTATTTGGTTGATGTGGCCTTCATGAGATTAGCCAGCTGAATGGAGTTGCCATTAGGGGATGCTGTGTCCTTTAGGGGAATACACAATCCTTGTGATTAGGTGTGTTCTTGGGGGGTGTGGCATCTTTTAGTGGTAACTTTATGTGTTGATCTTTACCTTAGGAAGGATATCTGTCTGCAGTTGCAGCCAGTGAGCTTGCCTTAACCCTTGCTTCTCTTCCAATGCAATGGAAGTTGGGATGGAGAATATTAATTCTACCCTAAAGAATAATTGTGACAAGTGAGAGATCTTGTCTGCATTGCAAGATCTGAAACTGTCCTCTTCAAGGGCAAGCTTTATTTGATAGCAAAGAGCAGGGGTTGTGTTTAGTCTGGCCTCTTGCCTCTTGTCTCAGAGCAAATGTGTGCTGAGTAAAAGAAGACTGCAATTCAAGAGTCCATATTTAAGTAACTCCAAAGAGGTTTGCTCCTGCAGTCCTGGCTTGGAGTCTGGAGAAAGCTGAAAATAGAAACTAGTTCTCAACCAAGGAGTCAGCAAAGAGCTCCTCTTCTGGAAGATAGGCTACTTCCTGGTCTTTTTTTGGATTGTTCCACAAATACATATCTTATGGGTACCTGGTTGTCTTATTCTGATAAGAGGATAAATCTTTGGTCTCAGATGCTTGGACCCTCAGGAAGCACATCAGACCATGTTTGAACAATCAGTCACCTTCAAGCTTCTAATTGTTCCAGCAGCAATAAAGGTTTGATAACCAACATCAAATCTTACCATCTCAGGGGGTGGCAATTCCAATTCCAGCAGATGTGATTTTTAA